TAAAAAAAAAAAAAAAAAAAAAAAGACATTGAGAGAAGAAACTAGGGTAACTAAATACAGTTGTCCCCCATATGAGGAGAAGACAGACTGTATTTTTTTCATGCAAAAAAAAAAAAGAACGGATTTAGGCTGATTTTGTGACGAAGGGCTCGTGCAGGAGTCCCAATTGCCATACTTTACGGGTGCAACCCATTGTACAGAGAGTCCAAGTATTCTAACGAGGTACAGGTGTATACTGGGCATTCGCATTCTCAGGGGAAGGAATGAGACTTCTAGACAAACAAGTGAAAGTGCTCATTTACTGCAGAACATGTTTGTGGGCTATAACTGAAATAGCAACATCGGACATCTTGTGAATATGCCCAGGAGAATACTGACTGTGACTGTAAAGAGATCTGTGAAGAAAACTTGCCTGAGAACATAAGACACTACTTTCTCCAATGCTCAGGAGCTGAGCATCATCAGGACAACAGAATGCGCTCATGGAAATCCTTCTTGACCCCCCCAGCTCCCCTTCCCCCACCGTGGGCCCCTCCCTACCCATCCTTAGGCCCGAGAAATTGTGTATTGATGAGGAATCCTGTCGAGGTGGAATTGGGAAAGATTTCCAGGTGGTCAAAAGAGGGCCGTGGAGAAAAGCCTAGGGGGATGCCTTATATCACTGTGGTCCAACAAAGCGGACCAAACCAACCGCGGCACAAGAATCCTCATACCAACTACTTCCAAAATCTGGTCTGAGGGTCTGGTAAGTAATGGTGAAGGAGACACAGCGGAAGGAAGATGGTCATGGATCCAAATTACATGGCAAGGGGAAGAGATCAGAATCCTAAACCTATACGTCCCCAGCACGGAAGCCGAACGCCTAGCTTTCTTCGACCACATCAAATCATTTCTCCCGACCCCGCTGCCGCTGATTATAGCAGGTGACTGGAACACTACGATGGACCCCAGCCTGGATTGCATTTCCCGGGCAGTGCTGTTGGGGCCCACACGAGCGAGCACACACCTACGGAACATCATGATAGAGTTCGACCTGGTCGACCCATTCCAAATCCTCCACCCACGCAAGAAAGCCTTCTCCCTAGTCAAGAGGAACCGATCTAACCGCACATCACTATCACGAATCGATTTCTTCCTAATTTCTGACATGCTGTAGGGAGCAATCAAGGAGGCCGGTATCCCACCAGCAGCAACCTTTAAGGGGCTCGACCACAAACCAACCTACTTGCTCCTTAGCTTCAACCCTCCGGTAGAAAAAGGACAAGGCTTCTTTAGACTTAACAACTCACTCCTCTCCACTGAACGCATGACCGAGGCAGTCAGACGAAAGTGGTGGTTCATACAGCAAAACGAGAAAAAACGCCAGGACAGGCAGAAATGGTTCATAGACATCTATATGGACCTGTCTCAAACGGTCTCAACAGAGTCTAGAAGCATAGCAGCAGAACGCAAACACAGGAAGGAGGAACTACAAATCGTACTTGACATCGCAGAAACCAACCTAGCATCCGATCCCTCTAACTCCTTCTACCATGACCTACTCCAATCTACCAAGGACGAACTAAGTGAATGGAGAAGATGGGAACTCGGAGGCCTACAGATACGCGCCCAAATGAATGACTACACCCTGAATGAATCCATGTCCAAATTATTTTTCTCCAAGATCAAGGCCAACACAAGGAACAACACAATCGAGGGGTTGAAGGACCCAGCAGACCAGGGGACGACAAAGTCAGCCGGCGCAACATGGTAAGAATAGCCAGGTCCTTTTACGCCGACCTCTACGAGTCCAAAACCCCCTCCGCCCCTCCAATAGCAAATATCAACGCCCGTCAACACATGATGACCTACCTAGAGAGAACGATTACCCAAGAACAAATAGAGGACTTGGACAAACCAATCACCATAGGGGAACTTCACGCAGCCCTAGCCCAGGTGGGAAACGACAAAGCACCAGGAATTGATGGCCTGTCCAAAGAATTCTGGATCCAGTTCTGGCCAACATTGGGCAACGACCTCTTGAACTTCATCAACGACAGCAGGGAAAAGAGAGGTCTGGGTCAATTTCTAAGCACCAGCGTAGTGTCACTAATATACAAAAAGAGAGACAAGGAGGACCTCAAGAACTACAAACCAATCTCACTTCTCACAACGCCATACAAAATCCTAGCAAAAGCATTAGCCAACAAAATCATAAAACTGATAGACAGTTGCTTTCATATCGACCAAGCATGATTCATTTCGGGTGAATACATTTTGGATAATGTGATGGCTCTAAACGAGGCGGCAAAGAAAATCACAGAAATACGAATGCAAGCGGCGATCTTATTCTTCGACTTTGAAAAGGCGTACGATCAAGTCAATTGGGACTTCCTCCACAACTGCATGGAGAAGATAGGTGTCGGCCCAAACTTCAGAGAGTGGGTTAGAGTACTCTATGGGGATGCCGCGGGCAGGGTGCAGATAAACAAAATACTGTCTGAAACCTACCCGATATCGAGATCCGTCCAGCAAGGCGACATCCTTGCACCCCTAATATTCATGTTCATAATGAAAGCCATCGCATCTTTTCTGCACAAGGACCCATCCATAGACTGCCTCACCGGAGAACAAAACCACAACCCCCTGCACAACTTTGCTCTCCCCACCACATAGATGTTCGCAGACGATCTCACGATCCTCATCCGCGCTAACAACTCCTCCTTCCAGGCCTTGGCCCGCACCGTGGAAGCCTTCAGATTAGCCTCAGAAATGAAGGTGAACTAGCTGAAAACGGAAGGGTGGTGGCTTGAAGAAGGCACCCCCCCCCAACCCCCAGACCCATCCACCCCAATGTCTTGGACTACAGGCGATCAAGCAATTCGATATCTAGGCATTATGGTAAACAGGGATGGCATCTGGTAAGGGATGGGGGAGTCACTACTCGCCAGAGCAATAACCCGCTTAGCCACCTGCAACAAAGCCCAGGCCTCCCTACTAGGGAGAGCCCTGATCATCAACACAACAGTATTCTCCACCTTGTGGTACATGGCCTCCATATGGTGCCCCCCCCGACGACGACCTGAAGAAGCTGAAGGCTAGAGCCAGGTGTTATCTGTGGACTGGCGACCCCAACAAAACCACCTGCATAAACAAGGTGGTCTGGCAAATTGTCATTAGGAAACCACAAGAAAGAGGGCTAGGTATAATCGACCCTAAACAGGAAGCGATCGCCCTCCAAATTAAATGGATAATCAAAATCCTAACCAAACAAGCCCTCCCGTGGACCGTGATAGCAATAGACAGCATAAGGAATTTGGCACCAGCAGCGACCCCACCGAACATGAGTGGCCTATTCTGGATCATGGCAAAGGAGTGGACAATCAAATCGGGGAGACCAGCAAGGAAAACTAACCCAGTGACCCCCATTCAACCCCCCACTACACCCACCCCCTACTGGTCTCCGACCCTGAAGACCTGGCGCCGACTGATGCCAGAAAAGAAAGGGCCCCCGAGCAACAAAGAGGAAGTCCTACGACAACCCCTGATCTGCAATCCTTGGATCGAAGACACAGAGGGAAGACCGTGGACTCTCCGGGCCAAAGACCACAGATGGTTGTCATGGGTGGAGAGAGGAGTATGGCAGGTTAAACATCTGTGGTCCGAAGACCGACAAGAATGGCTCACCGCACAAGACCTTCGCACTCCCTTAAAAGGTTGTCATCTACTGGCCACCAACCTGTCAGAAATACTCCAAAGCATTCCTCCCCCATGGACGACCCTCCTAAAAGAGACACATAAGTGGAAACCATGAGACTGGGGACTGCTCACCACACAGACCCCACCGACGAAAGCCTACCGCTCTGTGTCAAAACCGGACTCAACCAACTACCAAACCAAGTTCGTATCCTACCCCATCATCAAACACGGCCTATATGAACTAGAGATCCTAAACAAAACACCACTGAACGAACAAATAGAAACCTACCTTCTCAGGAAGGTTAGAGTCTCTCACAAGACACCCTAGTTTATATTCCAGTCGGAACTCAGCATCAACGAGTTGAAATTCGACCCAAAGGAATGGACCTCGGATCTGGGCGCCGCCGGTAAATCGAGAAGGATAACAGAATACGACGTAAAGTTCGGGTATAACCTCGAACTACAAACCAGGGACCCGAACCCAAGGCTGGCAGAGAAATGGAGAACCATACTGAACCTAGATACCACGACCCCCATCACCATCATATGGACCAAATACCTTCTCATCAAACCAAGTAGAATCTGAAGTACGCAATGGCTAATAGCACATGCAGCCCTGCCAGTCAACCAATGGTTACACGAGAGAAGGAAACACTCAGCTCCGCATGTTGCTCAATCTGCAGCAACGACTCACCCGAAGACATCCCCCACTACTTCCTCTTCTGCCCTGAAGCAATCTGGATATGGAAGAAGATCCGCGAGCTATGGTCGATCCTGTTCGCTGCCCCCCCCCCCAACATCCCCCCTATCTCTATCCTACTTCTAACTAACATCCCCAACAACATCACCCTACTCAGGAAGCTGGCACTGTGGGTGACATGGAAACGCAGATGCACTCAGACAATCGAGGGAACAAAGGTGGCAAGAGAAGAAATGTGGTCACTACTGCTGAGCATGGCAGAGACGGAAATCAGGAGCAGATGGCGGAGAATAGCAAACTCTACGAGACAGACCAGAAAGACAAGCAACCAAGAAATGGACTTTCATAAGGAACTGGTTGCTAAAAGGCAAGGTGGCAACGATAGTAGACAATAGACTGAGGTGGAAGAAATGGCACCAGGCAGAAGCATGAAGACCACGAGGGTACATGTCGGGAGACCTGGCAGAAGGTTCTGAATGGCGATCAACAAAAAGAGGACCAGACACGCGGGGAAAGACAAGGACAAGCAACACGACACAGAGCGAACCCCCCACTGTTCTCGTATTACAGGGACTCATTCGACAGGCTCTAACTAGAAGCCTGAGAGGAACAAATGGGCAGGGCGAGCTGACAGTCAATCCTCCTTAGAAGGAGCAATCAATGCTGATCAGGGGTCCTTCGGCCAGACGGAAGGAAGCGTTGAGTGGGTAATATGATGTAATCCGTTTTTGACTTGCCGGGGTAATAGGAACCGGACTGACGCTCCCCAGAATGGATATGGAGCCAGGAGCGTAAGGACCTGTTTGAAAAAAAAAAAAAAAAAAAAAAAAAGGTGGTCAAAAGACAAGGGAACTCTTGAAACAGAAACACCATGGAGATGGAAGACAACTGAGGGACTTAGGACGCCACGGAAAGAAACCCCGTCCATTAGAAACGACTTAAGAAGTAGTTCACCTAACCTAGCTTTGGATAGAAAAGCCATCCTAATAAATGGGCTCAGTCTGTAGCGTGCCAGATTGACATAGCCTATCAAGACAAATGTTGGGAGATGAAGATATGGACCTCGAACTGTTTTCTCAGGCTCGTTAGTCATAATTTCAATTTCTCCAAATTCAACGTGGTCATAATCTCGATTTTCAATTCTTCAAATCCCTATTTCTTATAATTCTTAAATTGAGGTTCGGTATTTCGGCTGTTCTGAATATGAAATCCTTTATTGATTTACTTTTCATCCTATCCTGATAATCATAAATTAGTTTATACTCGGAAAGAGAGTCTGAAGTCTAAAAGTTCGATTGCACCTGATTGTGTCGTTTCTTATTTTGATGGATTGTCTAATTAGTATTCCGATTATAATATCTTGGTTAACTTTATCGAGCGGTTTTCTGAATCTCAGAATCAGAATCGCGAGTCCATATGGACATCTTGTTTCATTCGTTCACATCTTGAAATCCGAAAAAACAAAAACCGATATATGATTGCCGAATTTAGTATCTGATTCTGAAGTGGAAAACATAATTAATTGTTGATCCCCTAATTGCGTTTTTCTAGTTCTTCTGTCTGATTCGTTTTTGAAACGTTTTTTCACCTGCGTTTCGCAATAATGGCAAAACTTCGCGAAAGGATATTCCTAGGAGTGTTTCATGATGAGTCCTCATTCTGCATGTTTGTAGTATTGCGGTTGATAGACACCGACCAGGAGTTTTTCCTTCAGGGTGGGAGCTCCTCCCTGTGAGGGTTGCACAAGGTGGGAGGTGTTATCCTTGAGAGGGTAGCGGCGGTTTTGAGGGTTTGTCCTCTCTTGGGCCGGGCCGATTTTGGGCCGGATCACTTAAACCACCAGTACCTGGCCCAACTATCGGYCGCGGCGCTTCCCGTATACGCGCCGCGCCATTTGGGCTTCGGCCTGCCGGACCGCATTGGCTGGAGGCCACAGGCAAAACGAAAAAGAAAGTTGTGACGGCGGTTCGGCAGGACTTGGCGCGCAGCGTGCTGGGAGGCTCGGATTCAATAGCTGAGCGAGGTACTGGTGGTTTAAAGTGGTTGGGGAGAGAGGACAAGGGGTGCTGCTTTTCAGCAGCCTGTGTGGTTGAGAGTGCTGTTTCATTTGGAGGGGGTGGGATAGGAGGCAAGGGGGAACTTTGGTTCTGCGGGGGCATACTCTAGGAGGAATTGTATGTAGTTGAGGGAGCAGAAGTGACCGTCTGGAGGGCTGTTCTGATCTGGGGCCGGTGAGGTGAGGGGGTCTTTCCGGCGGAGGCAGTTTAAGAACAGGGGATTGTCCTTTGTTGGGGGATGTACTACGAGTCTGTGACTTTTTCACACGAAGTTTCAGGCGGATCCCGCAACTTTCACAAGGAGAGAGGATGGATTTCCCTCCCTTTCAGAGGGTATCTTTTTTGTCGTTGCTTTCTGAGTATATGTTCCTAAGTGTTCTGAGCTTATATTTTCTAAGGATGGAGTTATGCTGGTCGGATGGAAAGACACTAGGACTGAGTTTGTGGGAGTTTTTTGACCCAACTTTCTTCTCTGTGTTGGGGTCGTGCAGATATGGGTGAGTGCCTATTGAGGCCAAGTGGGGCTGGGATGGACGGATGTCACACTTCCTGCTGATGAGGGGCTAGTCAGTAGGATTGGGTTAGGGCGTAGAAGCAGTAAAGATGGTGGCTCTACTGCACTAAGTCTTGATGGATAAGGCAAGGGGATTGAAGCGTGGTCCAAGGTGTCGAGTTTGGGCCAGAGTGGGCAATCTGGGACTGTGGCTGAGGTGGTGTTTGGTGGTTCAACTGATGTTGTGCTGAGGCCGTCACACTCTGACTTTCAAAAAGAAACCAGATCGAGGAAGGGGATTCTATAAGCTAAACTCGTCCCTCCTAAAGAAATCACAATTCAGAACTTACATAAAAGACGTATGGAAGTATTGGCAAACTACTAAGGATAAACACGAGTCGTATATATCATGGTTCAACAATGAACTTGTTTTCTTAGCAAAAAATCTAATGAATTTTCGAAATTAATAGCTAAACAAAAACATGATCAAGAAATGGAAATTCATAAGAAAATACTGTATTACGAACAACAACAAAATAACACATCACTTCCGCAAATGGAAGATATTCAGAAACTCAGAAACCAATTGCTAACCATCGCCCAAGATCGCTGGAAAGGTTACCTTGTCAGGAGCAAACTATCAAAACATCAGTCAGAAGGACAGAT